GGTCGTGTTTTGTATGTCTCACTTTATTTCATATGGGGGATTTTTGGATTTTAAGAGGTGAAAGAAAGTGAAAGTTAAAGAAATTTATTCACATATACGTTGTGAATATGTTTATTTCTTTAGTGGTTTTCTTTCTTTATTTATTAAACTTGAAGTTATTTATTTAAATGAAAAAATTGTTTCTTTATTCTGTTAAGATTATAAAGTTGCACATTTGTAACTTTGTATGTGTTAAGTTACATATGTAACATATGTGTTAAAGATACTTGTGAGATGTTACATATTTTGACAGCTATATATAGTTGTTGTGTTCCTTCATTTTGAGATATCCAAACATACCACAATTGAGTATTCTCCTCCTCTCACAAGAATTATCTCTTCTTTTGTGTTGTTCATCTTGTTTATATTGAGAGCAAGTGTCTAAGAGTTTTGCCAGATCCGAGTAGTTCGAGGTTTCAGTTCTATCGGAGTTAGTCGTTGTATCCTGCTGAGACAATCGCTGTAGACTGCTAGCAACTTGTGCAGAGCGAATAATTGTCTTCAGGTCAGCGCTATTGTAGCGTGCATCGACTATATTTATCAAGTTTTGTGTTCATCAAATTGTCAAAGTGTATATTTTTTGTAGCTAGTTACGTTGTAATCTGTTTGCCAGTATCACACAGTTTATATATACAATGTATATTTACCGAACAATATTCTTAAATTAATTGGAAATGGTTTCAATTGATTTTTTTTAAGTTAAATAGCTTTTGAAATTTAAAGAATAAATTATCTCAGGACATGTATTTCTACTATGAAATTCATAAATGAAGTAGTAAACAAGGGACTAGAGTAGCATTATCTTTTTTATAAAGACAAATCTGATATGTTTTCTTGTAATAAACTTTTATATATATATATATAAAATAAAAATGGTGATTATGCATAAAACGGAACGGGGTCAAATCTAGTCAAGGTCGGACATGTATGACAAATGACTTGCTCTATCAAGGAATTACCTGAACAAGAGAGGCAAGCACTCCGATGCTCAAGTCAGTAACAGCTCAGACTTAATATCAAGTTCAATTTTGATACTTGTATGAAGAAATGGTGCCTCTATTTATAGGTTAGGGATCCGAAAGACCTTTCGATAGGCAGTTATGGATGTCGGACAGTAGGTCAAGCATACTTCAAATTGTGGATCAGACCCAGATGTTGGTACCTCTACGAGGTGGCTCTCTTACAGAATTTATTACCAAGCTGGTCACCTTAGAAAGGTCCGAGGTGATATGAATTTACGGACTTGTCCAGATGGCCCTTTATGTTTCCTCCACGTCGCGAGACGATTTTCTTCCCCAGACAAAGGGTGGTATTGATATCAAGTTTTTAGAAATTTTCCACAAACATATGTATGTTTTTTTCCTCAATTTTTAGTAATTTCGTTTCTGACACATAATTTCCCTTTATGTTAAGTTCTTTTTAAGTTTAGGAATTTTTCCAAATAAAGTCATAAAATTATAAATCATTATCTAAGCATAATGGAAAATTATATATAAAGAAGGAAAGCAATAATTGAGAGTATTTCTCAAAATAAATTAATATACATTTTAGTCTTTAGAATATAAATCATTTTTCTATTTTGTTCTTTATATTTTAAAAATATTTCACTTGGTTCTTAAAATTAGAAATTCTAGTTGATAGTTTACGTGGTTGAAATGGAATAAAGAATTTATAATGTGGTAAAAATATTATTTTGATAAGGTCTTCAGCTTATTGATTTCTTTGGATCAGTCTTCTTCATTGTTGAGTTTTTTGAATCCCCTCTTGGCTTGTTAATGTCTTTGGATAGACCCACCTCTTTACTTGTTGATATCTTTGGATTAGTTTTCTAACTTGATGATCTTTTTCGATTGACATCTTGGATTTGTTGATATCTTTAGATCGACCTTTTGGCTTGTTAATCTCTTTGACTCGATCTTCCAAGTTTGTTGAGTTCTTTAAATTGGTCCCTAGACTTGTTGATCTCTTTGGATCCGTTCGATCGATATCTTGAAGTCTTGTACACTTCATTTGTCTTCAACTTTTCTCCGAAGTGTTTAGATATTCAAAGTCTTATGGTCGTCAAAGTCTTTTGTAAAGTTTTCCATTTTCGAAGTCTTTGAAAGTCTTGTGGTACTTTAGAGAATGTTCAATTTGCTGGAGAGTTTTCTATGAATTCTGTGACTTCTGAACCCCTAAAATGAAGGATAGCATTTCTATTTAAGGGCAACCAGAGGAATAGCTAAATTAAATAGTTTGATTTAAAAAATGGCCAAAATAATCAGATATCATAAAAATAGCTAAAGAACAGTTAGAGCTGAACTACGTGATTTTATGTAGACAAATTTACCCTCCCCGTCAAAATAGGTAAATTTATCCTACCATTTCCCCTATAAATTCGTGATGAAACTACCCTTCAATAAATCTTAAATAACATATAGATTTCCAAATTTCTAAATTTGTAAGATAAATCTGTTGAATACTTTGAAATAAAAAAAAAAGATTGAATCAAAGTGTAAAATAGACTAAAAAAACGTAAAATCAAATTAGAAAAGTGAAAAAATAAAGATTGAAGCTGTAAAGTACTATTTTTAAAATTATAGATGTAGTAGTTGAAGATTAATACCATATTAGGATCCATTATGGAAGAGAAGACAACTCAAATGACTCATTCCCACTTTTGCCCTTTAACTCCTTCTCACACTTGTCCTAACTTTTCCTTCCTAAAATCAAATAAAATTTGATTCAATCAAGTCTCAAACCCCTCAAGCCTCGTGTGCCTCAAGCTTTCGGCGTACACAATCTTTGGCATCCCTATTCTCACTCTTGCTTATCCAACAAGGGTATTCATCGATCGATTTTGAATGTTGTTTAAATAAATGAGGTTTAAATAATTGACCGTTTGTTAGCAACCTCCAATATTCCAGGGATTTTGTTGGACATAACCTGTTTTTAGGACACCTTGTAGATATGGTCAGTTGGGAGATTATATTGAAAATATAGTTTAGAT